CTTGCTGCTGAAGACAACTGCTGCTAACAATGTCACTTACTGATATAGTCACTTTTATATGGACTTAAACCTATGGTAGATAAATTTCTTACAGGCCATAAAACAATCATCATAAGAAAATTTTTTTATTCCTATGGACCATACCAGAAAGAGCAATCTAACACTATGACATTACTAATTCTGAAGTTTTCAATGGTCTCACCTCATCTCCTACTGTCTCTTTATCCTGTAGTAAAAACATGGATAAAGAACAATAATTTTGTCTGCAAATTCTGAAAGTATACAGCGGGATGGATCATACAGTGTTCAGATTTTTTTTTTCAACTGATAGAACTGCAGTGCCGAAGTCTCATGCCTAGCCAGTTTAGGGACATTCGGAGAAGACAACAGGGGTGGAAGGGGAGCAGCAGTGAGGCAATGAAACACAATGGTGGAAGAATTTCAAGGCACGGCTGCTGACAAGTCTGTGTGGAAGCTGTTCTGCCAGCTGGCATATGAACCTTTCAATCAGCAGAAATGAAGCGCATTACAGAAGCAGATGAAGAAGAACTTTTCTGACCAACTGCCAAAAGGAAAGGAGCACACTGGATAGGTGCTTTGATCTCTGAATTGTCCCAGAATGTCAGAATGAATGGGTTGCTAACTGGTATTGGGAAAAAGAGTTTTTTGGGGAGGATTTTTTGTGTTTTTTACTGACTCATTATCACAGCTCATTAGCCTCACAGGGTAGTGGGTAACAGTCTAAGCTTGTGAAGACAACCTCTTAAAATGGCCAAATCCTAAGCAGCCGGGGCTGAGACAGGCTGAAAACTTTGTCAGCTCATAAAGCCTGTCAAAACTTTAACAGTTAAATACACAAGGGGAAACAGAAACCATTTTCTGTCTTTGTACAGGCTGACTCACAGGGATGACTTCCCATCATGGTGTTTTTCACCAGCAGAGTTTAGAGAACAGGGATTTAGGAAGGCTGAAGAAGAAGCAGTTATAGCTCTGTATGGGGTGCAGGTGCCCAGGTGCTGGCAGTGGGGCCTACAGGGTGGTCTCTCTGAGGAGAGGCCAAGGCTGCCTGTGCTGGACACTGCCCGCTTCAGATGGCTCCAAAGGGTCCTCCACAAGGCACAGCTGAGCCCCTCAGCCAAGCTGGTGGCTTCTGTGTGAAAATGTGTTTAAGAAAGGACAAAACCCACCACACAGGCAGAAAAGGAGGGAGCACACGTACACACTGTAGCCTGTGGAGGACCTGATGTTGGAGCTGATGGAGAGTTCCTGAAGGAACTGAAGTCCATGGAGAGCTCACACTTGAGCAGTTGAAGGACTGCAGCCTGTCTGGAGAGCCCACACTGGAGCAGGGAAAGAATGTGAGGAAGGAGCAGCAGAGAGGAGTTGTTATGGACTGACTGAAATCCCCTGCCCCTTATCTCCCCTGCACCTCAGGGCATTGGCAGAGGAGTCAGGAGGCTGGAGGATGCTTATTTTTTGTCTTTGTTTCTCATTATCCAAATCTATTTTAATAAATAAATTAAAATCATTTTCTCCAAGTCAACTGCTTTACTTGTGACAGTAACTAGTACACAGTCGTCCCATTTAGATCTCAAAACACAACCTTTCTCAGCCTATTTTGTCCCTCTGTCCTGTTAAAGGGCAGTAAGAGATCAGCTGGGTGGGCTTCTGGCTGCTGGCCAAGGCTAACCCACCACAAACACTCAAACTGAGCAGCAATACAAAGGGAAGGCTGAAGATTTTAGCAGAGTACAAAACGATTTCTTCCACTTATGGGATTACCATAACTAGTAAGTCAATAACTACACGTCAAAGGATCTAGTCGTATAAAATGAACAGATTTAATGCCTCTTACACTGTTTATGCAAACATGATACTAAGAAGTACAGAATAAATTAAAGATGAAATATAGTTTATCAACAAGTATAGCAAGGGTATGTTTATAACAACTAACTTCTCAACATATTTTTGGGAGGAAAGTGTTTCAAGAAATAATTTTTTCTCATACGTAAAAAAGGACTACAGATGGGCTTTAAAACAAGAGATTTACTGAAATGCTTTTTCTCTTTATGAGAAAATGTTTTAAGAAAACTCTTTAAGTTTGAACTTCAAGCAGACGCAATTTCTTCTAAGAACTCTTCCACTAAAAATTAATTTATTTCTGTTACAGTTTTGCATCTTACATTGGGTTGGTTGTTTTTTTTAAGGAATTGGTCAAGTCACAGACACAAGTTTTGAGAGCAGTCAAAGTTTAAACCCATTTTACTTTGGTAAGTTTTTCAGTTTAAAGCTATCTAATAAATTCTAAGGCAAAAAAAGATCAGTTTTCTAAACCTAGATTTTTAAAAAAACAGCTCCTGCCTTTTGGTCATCTTTAATATTATAAGAATAAAACCAAACCAACCCAAAATCTTATTGAGGTTCCTTGTTTGCCCTTTGTGGTGTTGAGTTTTTTTTTTTATTTGGTAAAACATTCAGTTTGCACTTGGATATGTGTCTTCAATATTTAGATGGTATAAAACCAAGAAAGAGCTCTTCTTTTAATGGTTTCAAAAACTCTCGTGCAAATAAGCCAGCTCCAGGAGTCAGATGAAAAAAGCTAGCTCTAGATCAAAAGACCCAGCATAAGACAAAAAATAACCTTCTAAATAATATCTTGCAGGTTATGAAGCATATGGAGCTAGCTGCTAAAAACATGTTCGCTCTTAGCACAGCACATGCTCAAGTTCTTCAGCATTTATGCTTAATAAATATTCATGATTATTTAAAAAGGTGGCTCTGAAATGGTCCCAGAAGAATCATTTTGGGCACAAGCATGCCCAAACACTTTTTGACCAATCCAGATGTATGATACTAGATTTTCCATGCAGACACAGGGAGGGCAGTAATTGTTGTAAATGATCCCCTGCCTAGAACTGTATTAGAAGCATGCACAGAGATTGCCTCCCTCAGCTCTGCTTCTTTTGCTTTGTTTGCTGAATGTTACACCCAAGTACATCCAAAGGCAGATGATCCAGTACCTACATTGTTGCCTGCTGGAATTCTTGTAGTGATAGAATAGAGTGTCATTGCTTTAGTGGATATCAGCGTATACCACCTTCTCCTGTGTCTAACTAAGGTAACTAAGGATGTCTATAAAATCCCTCTGATCTCTACAGGCAGAAATTTAGCATTATGCATTTATAACACAGATCCTGCAAGTGATGCAGTGGAATGTTGTACATATTTACTCATTAATACATCAATGTGGAAACACGACAATGTTCAATTTCAAACTCCCGTAAATACATCTGCAGCTAATAGTAACACTTGTTAAACTTCAGGATGATTCTGAAGTTTATCCATTTTCTTTTGATTCCTTTTTTTTTTTAAAATAAAAGCAGTTCCCAGAATCTCTATGAGGAAAATACAGACTTACGGTTTCTTTACTAGTATTTAATCTACTTTATCATGTTCTGATTTTTCACTGTGTGAGAAAACCTTTAAGAACAGTGTAAACTTAATAGTTTACACATAAGCCACGTTCATTAATGTTAGATAATTAGGTACCACTATGATGTAGGGTTTACATTCCAGATATTTTCCAAACAAAGATCAATAATTTCCCTTTGTTCTTCTAGGAGAAATGATATGTCAAATTATGAATGACTTACAATCAATTTTTCTTA